TCTCCCTCTCCCTCCCCCTCCCCCCACCCTCTCTGTCAAGATCTCTCACCTGCAGGACTTCCAGGCTTGACCATGCTGACGTATATGCCCAGACCAAACTCGGAGCCGCCCCTGATGCTGAAGCCCATGGAGCCACCACGTGACCCGTGGATGGTCACAGGACGCTCCAGGGCCGAGGTGCTCCCAGGTGGCGTTGTGATAGGACCTGGAACAGGAGGGAAATCAGTATGTATATATTATGAAGCTTCTTACTTGTTCTATTTCATGTTTGTTCTGTCTCGTTTCAGATGTGTAAAATGAGAATGTCGAAATGTGTTGATTAAAAAAACCCCAAAAACTTCTTTGGTCATCATTCTTTCTTTGTCATTCATTCTCACTACGGAAACCATTTGTATCACGACGCGTTGGAATCAGGCGCTCGTCACTTTTGGGAGCATGTGAAGTTATTGGTATCAGTTTAAAGCATGTCCATTTGTCTTACCTTCGATGAAAAAAAATGCCATTTATCTTGAGTAGAAGTCGAGATATCCGCAATTGAAGGACGTGGGGGTCACATTGTTTCAGAGGTTAAATTGGCGAGAAAACGGCCGCCAAAGTTCGGTTATTTCCAAAGCTTGAGGAACTGTGGTAACTGAAAATGTACATTTTGTATGCCTTTAATCAACGTTTTTCAGTAAAACCGTCTCAGAAATGTGTTATTGAAATGACATAAAGGATGTTATGTTGAGCCAAAAAAAAAAAAAAAATAGCCTTCCAAACTGGAGGTGAAATGTCAGTTTCTCCAATTTCATTTTTTTTGGGACGAGCACCTGATTTCCCCACGCTGTCTCGCATATGTGATTGGCGCTGACATAACGAGGTTATTCTCGGATTTTAGCCTCATGGACACAGATATATATACATCAGATTTGTAGATTTAGTTCGTTCAATTTGCTATCTGAGTTAGTTTTTGTAGAACGGCGCTCACAACTGCATACTAAGGTCATATGAGCGCCTGAAGATTAGAAGTGTTACAAGAGAGCAACAAACATAAAAAAGAAGAAGGAGAGATAAGAAGCAGCTACAAGAAGAACAACAACGGGCAACAACAACAACAACATCAACAACAACAACAACAACGACAACAACAACAACAACAACAGCAGCAGCAGCAGCAG